CCAGGTCTCTGTGTTCGCAAACCTGAGCTCGAGAGTGTGCTAGTAACAGCCAGTCGTCGAGAAGTTCAGGATGCGAACCCCGTGTTCGCGAAGGGGAACAAGGGCTGCCTCGACGATCTTCGTGAAGACGCGAGGGGACAGAGCTAACCCGAATGGGAGAACGGCGTACTGGTATGCCTGGCCCTCGAAGGCAAACCGAAGAAACGGTCTGTGTCGAGGGAGAATGGAGACATGGAAGTACGCGTCCTTCAGGTCGATCGCTGCAAACCAATCCTGATACCGAACACATTCGAAAATGCGTTTGGCCGTGAGCATTTTGAACGGTAGTCGATGGAGAGAACGGTTCAAAATGCGCAGGTCCAGGATCGGTCGTAACCCACCGGTCTTTCTTGGGGACAATGAAGTAGGGGCTGTAAAGCCCGGACCTCACCTCGGCTGGAGGGACCGTCTCGATTGCACCCTTCGCCAGCAGGGTCGCAATCTCCGCTCTCAAGACTGGGGCATTGCCACCAACCATCGTGGAGCGAACTCCCCTGAAGCGGGGAAGAGACCGTGCGAACTGAATCGCGTAGCCGAATCCGATCGTTCTGATGACCCAGCGGGAACCCCGGGAAGCGCTAGCCAGGCTTCCAGGAAGTGAGCCAACGGGGTCATGCGAACCACAGACGTCCCCCCGGAGGGGCAGCGAGGCGGGTCGACCGGCATGCGTGCAGGAGTTACCCCGTCCGGATGCACCGTCGAAACCCGCTCCCCGACAGAAGAGACCAGGGAAGGCAGAGCGTTCCACGGGGGTCTGTTCTGCCGGGGGTCTGGCGACAGAGGGGGAAGGGATTGGCGTAGCCCGGGACGACACACGCACCCTTCCGCGCCCTCCGAGACAGAGAGGAATGAACGGGGCGACGCACTGGACGTCGTGCGCGCTCATTCCAGTCTGTGTGCTCAATGACAGTGTCAGCTTTTCTCAACCAGCTCAGGGAGCTAGCTAGAACAAAAGATTCTCCACCGGCCCTCCACCGGGGAAGGAGGGGCCCTGCCACCGCCTCCTGAGAAAAACCCTGACACTATCACTGAGCGGCCCGCCTCAGGAACATCGCTTCGCCTGGCGTTTAGCGGGGCACACGGCCTGAGGGGGGGGGGGGACGCTTACCTGTGGCCTCCTCCGCGACGCGAACCGGCTGAAGGCTGCTGCTGGGGCCGCGTGGGAGGGAAGGGAGCCGCAGGGGGCGTCCTCGGCGGCGAGCTGGCGGAGGCGTCCGAGCCGACGGCTGGTTGGAGGCAGCAGCTGGCCGTCGGGGCAGAGAAACCGCCTTCGTCTGCTCCTAGGCGGTCGAGAAGTGCTGGGCAAAGTCCTGGACCGCACCGCCGAACATTATGATGCTCCTGGACCACAGCGGTGGGCATCACCTGACCAAGGGAGCGAGCGACCGCCTCCGTGACCCGTTTAAGGACAAGGTAGGCGATAGGCTCGCAGCTCGCTTGGTCCGTCACCTCCTCGTGCACATTCCTGAGCAGCTAGCTTTGTAGGTGCTCATCATATGCAGGGCGGAGGCTGCCTGTCCCGCCGCTCTACAGAATCGCGCCGCCATAGACGACGAGAACCCATAGGCTTTGGAGGGGCATCTGAGAGCAACCGCCGGTTGACCGGGGGAGCCCCAGCGTACCCACAGACAGCCGCATCGCCGAGGGGAGGAAGGGCGGGGAACTAAGCACGCTTTTTTTTTTTTTTTTTTTTTTTTTTAGTGCGTGTCAGTTCCGCATGCAACTCGGGGAAAAAAGGAAATTGGGGTTGGCCGTGGCCGTAAGGCGGCAGCGTTACCCAAAAACCAATTATTCAGCCGCGAGAGATCGGGGAGGGGCGGAGTTCCACCCCCACCCGATGCTCACGGACGCCCGAGATAGCACGGCCATCATCGCGGGATCAGACACGGCGGCGCTGACGCTCCCGAGGGAGGCAACGCGGCCGCATCCTCACTTCCCGAGGAGTCAAGCCCGCCTAGTGATGCTGTGATCGACATCGCATCATCATCTGGAGCGCTGCCCGAAGCAGCCGGTGCCACCGAAGAAGCAACCGACTGAATCGAACTAACGCTCGCTGGCTCTCGCACTGAGGCGGGAGGTGTGGCCCGAGGAATCGTCGGGGCTTTATCTCACACCATCACCGTAAATCACCAGGTCCCCGGGTCGACGGGGCCCCTATGGAGGAAACCGATCGAGCGGGGGGACCGGGACTCTCACTCAAGTGAGATCATTGAGTCTCGACCTCAGTGTAGAGATGGTCATGTTCCCACAAAGGAAAATGAGTCATCCACGAACGCTGCTGCTGCATGCTGAAATGCCCAGGCATACAAAGCAGCGATCGTGACCATCAGATGACGACAGAAATCAATCACACCCAGAAGAGCACGGGCGAACCGTCTTTAAAAAGACGTGCGCGTGCAGCTCTTTCAATGAGAGGAGGAAATTCACTCTTTCAGCGCTGAAGCGACCAGGGAGAAGCGCAAAGTCTGGCAGACCACTGCTCAGATCGCAGGCGATGCAGAATCTCGCTGGGTACCGCCGTCACACCAACACTGAAGAGGACGCTCGTCTCGAAGAGTCTTGAACAGTGCTTTCAGGAGTGAAGAGGTTCTCTTGGCTCCGAAGCGAAAACATACTGCGGTTGCGTTCACTTCCTCCTTTTATACTCACGGAGTAGGGCGGAGTACGCTATGCAAATTTCCGCAGCCCCAAGGCATTGCATGCCATTGGCTCGTGTTTTAATACTCGAAGAGGATTGGCTTTCTATGCGAAACCCCCAATCTCCGTCACTTCTGACGTAACTCGAAGTGACTACGATAGGGAACTGACTTTCCAACTGAGGGAGTTTTTAAAGAATTTCTGGGACGTGGT